CTTCCTCCTCGGTCCTCAGTCCTCCTCCTCAGTCCTCCTCATCCTTCTCATCAGTTCTCCTCCTCCTCAGTCCTCTTTCAGTCCCCCTCCTTCTCCTCCTCCTATTCAGTCCTCCTCCTCCTCCTCCTCAGTTCTCCTCAGTCCTCCTTCTTATTTCTCCTAAGTCCTGATCCTCCTCCTGAGTCCTCCTCCTCCTCTTCCTCCTGAGTCCTCCTCCTGAGTCCTCCTCCTCCTCCCTCTCAGTCATCCTCCTCAGTCATCCTCCTCAGCCATCCTCCTCAGCCATCCTCCTCAGTACTACTCAGTCCTCCTCCTTCTCAGTCATCGTCAGTCCTCCTCCTCAGTCCTCCTCAGTCCTCCTCCTCCTCCTGGGTCCTCCTCCTCCTCCTCCTCCTGGGTCCTCCTCCTGGGTCTTCCTGATCCTCCCCAGTCCTCTTCCTCCTCCCCTCCTCAGTCCTCCTCCTACTCCTCCTCCTCGTCCTCAGTCCTCCTGATCCTCATCAGTCCTCAACAGTCCTCCTCCTCCCCAGTCCTCCTCCTCCTCCTGGGGCCTTTTCCTGGGTCCTCCTCCCCAGTCCTCCTCCTCCTCCTGGGTCCTCCTCCTGGGTCCTTCTCCTCCTCCTCCTCAGTCCTCTTCCTCCTCTTCCTCCTCCTCCTCCCTCTCAGTCATCCTCCTCAGCCATCCTCCTCAGCCATCCTCCTCAGTCCTCTTCCTTCTCAGTCCTCCTCAGTCCTCCTGAGTCCTCCTCCTCCTGAGTCATCCTCCTCAATTCTCCTCCTCCTCCTCCTAGGTCCTCCTTCTGGGTCATCCTCCTCCTCCTCCCCCTGGGTCTTCCTGATCCTCTTCCTCCCTCTCAGTCATCCTCCTCAGCCATCCTCCTCAGTCATCCTCCTCAGCCATCGTCCTCAGCCATCCTCCTCAGTACTCTTCAGTACTCTTCAGTCCTCCTCCTTCTCAGTCCTCCTCAGTCCTCCTCCTGAGTCCTCCTCCTCCTGAGTCCTCCTCCTCCTGAGTCATCCTCCTGGGTCCTCCTCCTCCTCCTCCTCCTCCTGGGTCCTCCTCCTGGGTCTTCCTGATCCTCCCCAGTCCTCTTCCTCCTCCCCTCCTCAGTCCTCCTCCTACTCCTCCTCCTCGTTCTCAGTCCTCCTCATCAGTCCTCAACAGTCCTCCTCCTCCCCAGTCCTCCTCCTCCTCCTCCTGGGGCCTTTTCCTGGGTCCCTATATAATTTGATATAATAAGTTAAAGCTATTAATAGCTTTAGTGTGATTAATAAGTTATATTCCCTATACTTCGTTAAATAGGTACTGTGCCTACTGTGTACCCTGTGTAACTGTTTCAAAGATATGTTGACGACACAAATAGATCTGGATTTATAATACATAGAAGTTGCGAAAAATTCTCAAAATGTTTGTCCGCTAATGTCCACCAATGTCCGCTAATGTCCACCAATGTCCGTCCGAGTCCGCCAATGTCCGTCCGGGTCCGCAAATGTCCGTCCGAGTCCGCCAATGTCCGTCCGAGTCCGCCAATGTCCGTCCGTGTCCGCCAATGTCCCAAAAATCACGTCCGTTGTCTCATAGAATCCAAAAAGGACAGGACATAGGCGGACATAGACGGACATGACACCCCCCCTACAACGCAAGTGCGCGGCTCCACCTGTATCGTGGAAACTCTACACCATAGTGAAACGACCGTGGGGGTCACGACGTGATACAAGGAAGCTTCACATCGTTAGTTTTTTCAACGTCAGGTGGAATGGGTGGTGAAGCTGAAAAACTGGTGAAGAAGCTGGGTAGTAAAATGGATTATCATACAGCTGTCAACGATATTCAGATGCTGTGGGATACATCGGTTCAAAATCTTAAGAGCAACAGTTATTTCTCCCCGGGGAGACAGAGGGGCAAGAAATTTACCACGTTTAGGGAACTAATTTTCCATTGTTGATGGACTAGCCCGGCGCGCTACTTCGTAGCACTTGCCTCGGGCCAACATTTCGAGAAGAAAGCGGTTCCGCTACTTTGAAGAAATTTAGACGAGTAACATCCGTCAAGGGAACTTCTCTCTCTCTTTGTTCTGGTCAACGGTTTCTGGCCTCCTATTTTAAGAAGGAGGTCTTATCGCCGTGCCCACAGAATGCAACTCCTGCTAGCTGCACGCCAGGACTCTCAAAGTATATACGAAATCATAAAATAATAAATATCAATGCAACTGACCCCTGGAGTCTTGAAGCTGTCGCTAGCTGGCTCAGAGCAAACCCTATTCCGTTGTAGTACTTCTGCGGGCAGACAAGGGACTTCCAAGCAAGTTCAAAGCCTGGGAGACATGTCTCTATGCAAAGATGGGCCTAGGTTCAAGGTTGAGTTCCTAGTGTGGAATTTAGCGAAAGTTCCCGGTGAAGAATCCAAGGAGGTTACCCAAAAGAGGTTTCCCTATCCAGTCTTGTTGACTGTTCCACAAATTTGAAGATATGGTTGAGTTTACTGTTGTTAAGATCCTCCGTAGGGGTTTACCAATTATCCTCATTCTGAGCGTCATGATCTGGATGCACTTGCAGAGGAAGTGATGGGATGTTTCTGTTTCTCCTTAAAAGTGTTCACAATCTTGCATCTCGAAGTTGACGTTGTTTGCCACGTTCTGAAAATAAACTAGTGGGCTGTGACCTATCCTGACAGCGGCCATGTTAGCATCTGATGTGAGTTCCAGAAAAATGAAAGTTCCTGTATTTATATTTGTGGAGGAACATCTGAAGTGTGATTTTCCTTTGTCGCTGAGTGTGGCCTAAGTGGGAGGAAGGGTTCTGGTCCTATGGGGATGTTGTTGGATTGATCGCCCCTTGCGAATTTGTCCGCTAATTCTTTACCGTATACTCCTTCATGTCCTGGAACATCTAAGTTCTACTCGATGTGAATACCTAGTGAGTTGAGTTGATCTGAGATGTTCAGAACAAACCTGGAGTTAAAACTGGTGCTGTTAAGCGCTTTAAATGCAGCCTGGGAATCTGAGAGGAATTAATGATTGATGGGGATCCTAAGTTATCATTTAAAGTCCAGATAACGTGCCATGTGTAACGCAAATAGCGGGTACGATTTCCTCAATGAACCTGAAGGAGGACTGTCTGTCCTGTATTGTTACCATGTAACATCGAGCCAACAAATTGAATCCAAAGTTTGTATGTTAAAAGTTGTATGTCCTATTTGCATCCCCGAAGCATTGAATTGTTGTTTATTCCTGGTCCAGTTAGCTTTGCGCTCAGAACTAAAGAGGTCCGCTATGCTTTAGTGAGCTATGCTGTCCACCAGGGTACTGTAGATCTAAGGGTTCCCTGTGTAATGGGACAGGCTGTGATAAAGCATCTCTGCAGGATGTCCGAGATGAACTGTTTTCGAGCGTTGAGATCTTCCGCTGTAGAAACTGATTAGAACCAGTAAGGGTGCCCGTCAAACTCTGCTGCTACTAGATGATTGTAGAGCGTCAAGTCACATTTTAATGAAGAGTGTGGCAAACGCTAACCCCGTCCCCTAATCCTAGGTTATATGTGATGGCCTCAAGATGAGCCCTTAGCTGTCTAGCTGAGAAGACCTGAAAAGTGGTTACTGGAGGAAGAAGTGCCAGGAAAATCAGTGTGTCCTCAAAGTCGGAGTGAGAGAGTTGAAATCCCTAACTCACGAGCCTGTGTCTAGCGTGTGTCAGCCCTTATGAATTAGCTGTTGTAACTGAAAATACCTGAAAAGACCTGAAAAGTGGTTACTGGAGGGAGAAGTACCAAGACTACTCATTATCAGTGTGTCAGAATGAGCGAATTGGAATCCCTAGCTCTGTGGTGGGTGACTTCGATGGGACCTGAAAGCTGAAAGAGAATTTCCTGGTGATTTAATAGCTCTTAGAGCTAGGTATCTGTGTCTAACGTGCCGTCATTTGTGCGTGTACTATCTTTTAACCTGATATCTGAAAGAGAAATTTCCTGGTGCTTGGTAGCTGTTAGTGTTAACTTCCTGGTTGTGCCCCAAGTGTGCTCCAGCTGGTCCCCAGCTGTATCTGCCCCAAGTGTGCCCCAAGTGTGCCCCAAGTGTGTTTAGTTTACAAAAACTGTGCTTCAGGTCACTTTTTTGCCTCAACTGTGCCCCAAGTGTGCCCCAGCTGTGCCCCAACTGCTTCTGCCCCAAGTGTGCCCCAAGTGTGCCCCAAGTAACTTTGTGCCCCAAGTGTGTTTAGTTTACAAAAACTGTGCTTCAAGTCACTTTTTTGCCTCAACTGTGCCCCAAGTGTGCCCCAGCTGTGCCCCAGCTGTGCCCCAGCTGTGCCCCAACTGCTTCTGCCCCAAGTGTGCCCCAAGTGTGCCCCAAGTGTGCCCCAAGTAACTTTGTGCCCCAAACTTAAATTCTAACATTTATTACACGCTTCGACATTAAAATATACCCAACAAAGATGTACATTTAAGTCATTCAAGCGAGACTTAATGTTGAAATACCAAGATTATGCACTTTCATATCAGTTCAGACTTTATGGACAAATATTAGAAATATTATCAAAAGCTAGGTGGAAATAAAACGTCTTGAGCGCATTTTTAAAACATTCTACAGATGATAATGATCTCACTGAGTAGGGTAGTTCATTCCAAATTTTTGGTCCACATAACATAAATCCAGCATCCGTTCGTCTGAAATGAGGAGCAGGAGATATCCAGTCTTTTTTATTTCCACACTAATTCACACTCAACATTTCTTATCAAACACACTCTCAAGTTGTAAATATATAAAAATATGTACAGTATAGTACGGTGCAGCCGTTATATCGAAATTATGTAATAGATCACAACTAAACTTTCTTTTCTACTAAAATTGTATTATTCTGTCCAACTAACATCTAAAGCATCAGATTGATTTCATTAATCTTTTTCGTAAACCTCAAAAATGCGTAGCTATTTGAGATGATGCTTTTGATTAATTTTAAGAAATTATGTTATTTGAGTCACCCTAATTTGTTATAATAATGTTTTTATAGAAGGCTTGTGATGTATTAAATAGCTGAACGCTGGAAGGAAAAGATAAACATGCTAATCACGTTCAAGAGGAGAAAAAAGTGAAAAGTTCTCCTTTCTATCTTCATACGTCACCAGCAGGTACCTCGAGCATCATCATTATTGCATAATACATACAGCTTGCATTATTTAAGTATCTCAGTTATAAGTAAAAACATATTTTTAGATTTATTTACTGGCTGCATTTTACATAGTGTGCCATTATTCAAATTCTTACATTCAATTAATGCAAATATTTCAGAGTTACCTCAAGTAATGTAAATATTTCAGAGTTACCTCAAGTAATGTAAATATTTCAGAGTTACCTCAAGTAATGTAAATATTTCAGAGTTACCTCAAGTAATGTAAATATTTCAGAGTAACCTCAAGTAATGTAAATATTTCAGAGTTACCTGAAGTAATGTAAATATTTCAGAGTTACCTCAAGTAATGTAAATATTTCAGAGTTACCTCAAGTAATGTAAATATTTCAGAGTTACCTCAAGTAATGTAAATATTTCAGAGTTACCTCAAGTAATGTAAATATTTCAGAGTTACCTCTAGTAATGTAAATATTTCAGAGTTACCTCAAGTAATGTAAATATTTCAGAGTTACCTCAAGTAATGTAAATATTTCAGAGTTACCTCAAGTAATGTAAATATTTCAGAGTTACCTCAAGTAATGTAATATTTCAGAGTTACCTCAAGTAATGTAAATATTTCAGAGTTACCCCAAGGAATGTAAATATTTCAGAGTTACCTCAAGTAATGTAAATATTTCAGAGTTACCTCAAGTAATGTAAATATTTCAGAGTTACCTCAAGTAATGTAAATATTTCAGAGTTACCTCAAGTAATGTAAATATTTCAGAGTTACCTGAAGTAATGTAAATATTTCAGAGTTACCTCAAGTAATGTAAATATTTCAGAGTTACCTGAAGTAATGTAAATATTTCAGAGTTACCTCAAGTAATGTAAATATTTCAGAGTTACCTCAAGTAATGTAAATATTTCAGAGTTACCTCAAGTAATGTAAATATTTCAGAGTTACCTCAAGTAATGTAAATATTTCAGAGTTACCTCAAGTAATGTAAATATTTCAGAGTTACCTCAAGTAATGTAAATATTTCAGAGTTACCTCAAGTAATGTAAATATATCAGAGTTACCTCAAGTAATGTAAATATTTCAGAGTTACCTGAAGTAATGTAAATATTTCAGAGTTACCTCAAGTAATGTAAATATTTCAGAGTTACCTCAAGTAATGTAAATATTCAGAGTTACCTCAAGTAATGTAAATATTTCAGAGTTACCTCAAGTAATGTAAATATTTCAGAGTTACCTCAAGTAATGTAAATATTTCAGAGTTACCTCAAGTAATGTAAATATTTCAGAGTTACCTCAAGTAATGTAAATATTTCAGAGTTACCTCAAGTAATGTAAATATTTCAGAGTTACCTCAAGTAATGTAAATATTTCAGAGTTGCCTCAAGTAATGTAAATATTTCAGAGTTACCTCAAGTTATGTAAATATTTCAGAGTTACCTCAAGTAATGTAAATATTTCAGACTTACCTCAAGTAATGTAAATATTTCAGAGTTACCTCAAGTAATGTAAATATTTCAGAGTTACCTCAAGTAATGTAAATATTTCAGAGTTACCTCAAGTAATGTAAATATTTCAGAGTTACCCCAAGTAATGTAAATATTTCAGAGTTACCCCAAGTAATGTAAATATTTCAGAGTTACCTCAAGTAATGTAAATATTTCAGAGTTACCTCAAGTAATGTAAATATTTCAGAGTTACCTCAAGTAATGTAAATATTTCAGAGTTACCTCAAGTAATGTAAATATTTCAGAGTTACCCCAAGTAATGTAAATATTTCAGAGTTACCTCAAGTAATGTAAATATTTCAGAGTTACCCCAAGTAATGTAGATATTCAGAGTTACCTCAAGTAATGTAAATATTTCAGAGTTACCCCAAGGAATGTAAATATTTCAGAGTTACCTCAAGTAATGTAAATATTTCAGAGTTACCTCAAGTAATGTAAATATTTCAGAGTTACCTCAAGTAATGTAAATATTTCAGAGTTACCTCAAGTAATGTAAATATTTCAGAGTTACCTCAAGTAATGTAAATATTTCAGAGTTACCTCAAGTAATGTAAATATTTCAGAGTTACCTCAAGTAATGTAAATATTTCAGAGTTACCCCAAGTAATGTAGATATTTCAGAGTTACCTCAAGTAATGTAAATATTTCAGAGTTACCCCAAGGAATGTAAATATTTCAGAGTTACCTCAAGTAATGTAAATATTTCAGAGTTACCTCAAGTAATGTAAATATTTCAGAGTTACCTCAAGTAATGTAAATATTTCAGAGTAACCTCAAGTAATGTAAATATTTCAGAGTTACCTCAAGTAATGTAAATATTTCAGAGTTACCTCAAGTAATGTAAATATTTCAGAGTTACCCCAAGGAATGTAAATATTTCAGAGTTACCTCAAGTAATGGAAATATTTCAGAGTTACCTCAAGTAATGTAAATATTTCAGAGTTACCTCAAGTAATGTAAATATTTCAGAGTTACCTCAAGTAATGTAACTATTTCAGAGTTACCTCAAGGACACCTAACTGCACAAGGTGATCTCCTTAACCAGACAGGACTCATGCCGGATTACAACAAACTATGCAAAGGGAAAATGAAGGAAAACCTCAGCGATTTCTTGACTTCAGTGGAAGGTTTATTTAACAGCTAACTGTCAATAATACGTATATTATATATGGGTTTTTGTAGTGGTAAGTAGAATCCCATCGAGGATCGATGATGTGAACCCTGCTTGATTCAGGGGATACTGTTATTATGCATTAATATGATCTGATGGTGTTCGTGGACAGTTGTCCGTGGACAGTTGTCCGCGGACAGGGGTCGGGCTATCTAGATACTGCCTATATTATATGTATATTATAATATATAACACTAACAATCTAATTGATCATCCCTGAGCTGATGCAAGTTTCATTGTTGCTCAGTTAGCTGTCGATAGTAATAGTTAATCATTTTGAGATAGAATTGGTACTAAATTTATTTATTCTTGCCCTCTTTGAAAAGATAATAAATGTTCCGAGTCAGTGAGTGAGAATGTTATATATTATATCGTTCTATCGTTGGTAGCTACCTGATGGGTCCTGATAGTTGAGAACTGAGAAATTTTAACAAATTTTGTCATTTTTCAGGTAAGATCGATGTAAAAACCATAAGCGATGCTGAGGGACTAACTGGATTGTTAAGGAAGCCTCCCTCCATGCAGCGAGACTTGAACCCGCTTTCCTACGAACAGATCTCAGCTTTCAAGTTGCAACCAGGGAGGCTGGGGAGATGTAAAAAATTCACTTTCATCCAGTCACCGCAAGAAGAAGAAGAGGAGGGATCATGAAGACGGTGAAGGTTAGTTCAACTAATTATTTTCAGTAAACTTGGTTAAATAATAGTGGGGAGGTACAGGTGTATGTAACTATATAATATTGCCATGTTTGTTCCTGACAAGTCTGTACCGTATCCAGTAGCTACAATTAAATTCACGAATAAATTCCATTTTAATTATTAATTATTAGTAATTAATTAACCTCTCGATCCCCTCTTTTAAATAATTACGGTATAACTTACTTATTCCATCGTGTTTTTATGATGATTTGTTGTTAGTTGTTAACTGATTGAAGCTTGTAATAAATAGTTCAACTTCAGCAAAGTTTTGATAACATTGCTTATTTCCGAATATCTCGCATTTATTTAAACTGTGTGTAAAACTACTATATAATATTGCCTTAAAACGCAATACTATCATATGATTATAATATGTATCAAATGTATTGTATAATAATACATATTCAATACGAATCTTTTTTTGCAGGTAAGAAGCACAGGCGGAAGAAAGAAAAAGCGGGAAAATCACGATGTCACCTGAAGCGTTACTCCTGAAGCGTTACTCCTGTAGCGCTGGGAGAGAATGCTGATCTGCGTTAAAGCAGTATTGAAATAATTAATAACGATTTTCTAAAGTGAGGTCGGGTCTAATTGCTGTATTATTGCACAGCTTACCTCAAACAATGACATATCGGGTATTTTTGTATTTCAGATGAAAAATCCACCTTTTTTTGTTGCAAAATTTCCACATTTATTTTGGCCTAAATGGAGTATTTAGTACTCAGAGTACTTCATAATGTTGAGAATGTCATGATCTGACCCAATCAGAATGTAATCTTAAATCTTATTGTATTTCAGTATTCAAAGATTTACTGTATCAATGAAGTATGGTCAAATTCCTTTTGGCATAATGCCAAATATATTCTGATTAACTGTAATCCTCTACCAGATCTACATGAGTCCTTGTTTTGCAATATGAGCCAATAATAAACGGGTGTTTGACTGTACAAATTTTATTTATTCCATTATTACACCATTAGTAATTATTACACCATTAGTAATGGTTCTCTACACATTGTAATTGATTACATATCGATCTACGGTCGCAGGAAAGAATACCAATGTATTATGTTCTAAGTGTGCTCCTTTATAATACATACCAATATGCTGAGCTAAATACATGCACTACTTCCCTGCCCTCTACTAAACTAAAGTGAGGTAACCAACAACAACAACAACATGGCGAACCGAGCAAGCTAGGAACAAGGGGCCGATTTCCTTTTCGTGTATCGTTAGGTCCTTTCGGTACAGATTAGTCGGCATGCCGGCCCAGGCATATGCACTCTGTTATTTTCCCAGCTCTAACGAAAGCCACTACCATTTACACCATGGTTTAGTGAGTGACGGCTGCCCTTCAGTTTTTGAGACTTTAGCCCAACTGGGATTCGAACTCGCAACCTCCAGGTCAGTAGACTAGCCGATTAACCAACTAAGCCACTGAGCAATGAGGTAACCACTTACCATATATAACGTAGGGGGTACCTTAGTTAAGTTGGGATCTGGGAGTCTGTAATTTGGGAAACAGCTGAGGCTACAGTATTCTTTCTTGCGACAATTATTAGACCATTAAAACCTTGTGTTTATTGTCTCGGAACATTACAAATTTCACTATGTTTTTAATTTTTATTGAATATGATAATATAATCCTGCCAGCAATTCTGAGTGATTGTTTTGAAATATTCTGTAATGTTCCACTAACCTGTACAACTCGCAGAATGATAAAAGTAAGGAATGAAGAAGGTGAATACCCGTGCTACATATGCCCTGAAATACTCAACTCGAAGAAAGATCTCCGACAACACACCATTAACGTGCACAAGAAGAATAAAGTGTGTCCCACTTGCAGTTCCTCCTTCAAAGACATCTCCTCCGTCCGACGCCACATTAAAAGTGTTCATGTCAAAGAGAAACAGTTTGTGTGTTCACTGTGCGAACGGCGCTACATGCACAAATATGATCTCGAGAATCATTTCACCAAAAAACACAGTTCAACTTTCAACTGTAACGACAGAAAGGTATGTCCGGATTGTCAGGCATTTTTCACATCTACCACTCAGCTTATGGAGCACATGCAGAAAACACACAAGAAAACTATCAACTACAGCAAATGTCCGTTTTGCATCAAAACTTTCTTCGACCCGATCTATCTTAAACAGCATTTTAAGCGTGTCCATGGCAACGACCCTTGCTCCCTGTTAATCTGCAAGTTTGTCCAGTTGTGTCGGATGTTCTAGAAACCTTCACATCTCACATGAGTAGCTGTCACTCGTGGGAGAGCACGCTGATCTGCACTAGAAAGGGGTGTAACAAGTACTTTCAAACAGAGGACGAGCTCCTCTCCCACCTTAAAACACACCCCAAACAAACGTGGACCCGCAAGAAATCAGAAGCGAGCTCGTTTAAGTGCTGGGAGTGTGGCAGCCAGTGTGAAACACGGGAGATGATGGTCACGCACTTTACAGATCTGCACTCCTGTCTACCCAGGTTCGAGTGTAAAGCCTGCTCCACCTTCTTCAGAGATAAGGACGATCTCTCTATGCATATTCCCTGTACAAACCAGTCGTACACTGACTTTGTAGAGCTTACAATTCACCAAAACACAGAGTCTTGCTCTTCTTATAATGGGGAGGGCTCTCAGCAACTCTCCAAAAAGAGGAAGATCACCCCTCTTGTCACTGGAATTGTAGATTTTCAGTCTTGACTAAATCAAGATCACGCCTCTTGTCACTGGAATTGTGGATTTTCAGACTTGACTAAATCAAGATCACCCCTCTTGTCACTGGAATTGTAGATTTTCAGTCTTGACTAAATCAAGATCACGCCTCTTGTCACTGGAATTGTGGATTTTCAGACTTGACTAAATCAAGATCACGCCTCTTGTCACTGGAATTGTGGATTTTCAGACTTGACTAAATCAAGATCACCCCTCTTGTCACAGGAATTGTAGATTTTCAGACTTGACTAAATCAAGATCACCCCTCTTGTAACTGGAATTGTGGATTTTCAGACTTGACTAAATCAAGATCACGCCTCTTGTCACTGGAATTGTGGATTTTCAGACTTGACTAAATCAAGATCACCCCTCTTGTCACTGGAATTGTGGATTTTCAGACTTGACTAAATCAAGATCACCCCTCTTGTCACTGGAATTGTGGATTTTCAGATTTGACTAAATCAAGATCACCCCTCTTGTCACTGGAATTGTGGATTTTCAGACTTGACTAAATCAAGATCACCCCTCTTGTCACTGGAATTGTGGATATTCAGACTTGACTAAATCAAGATCACCCCTCTTGTCACTGGAATTGTAGATTTTCAGACTTGACTAAATCAAGATCACGCCTCTTGTCACTGGAATTGTGGATTTTCAGACTTGACTAAATCAAGATCACCCCTCTTGTCACAGGAATTGTGGATTTTCAGACTTGACTAAATCAAGATCACCCCTCTTGTCACTGGAATTGTAGATTTTCAGACTTGACTAAATCAAGATCACGCCTCTTGTCACTGGAATTGTGGATTTTCAGACTTGACTAAATCAAGATCACCCTCTTGTCACTGGAATTGTGGATTTTCAGACTTGACTAAATCAAGATCACCCCTCTTGTCACTGGAATTGTGGATTTTCAGACTTGACTAAATCAAGATCACCCCTCTTGTCACTGGAATTGTGGATTTTCAGACTTGACTAAATCAAGATCACCCCTCTTGTCACTGGAATTGTAGATTTTCAGTCTTTCAGACTTGACTAAATCAAGATCACGCCTCTTGTCACTGGAATTGTGGATTTTCAGACTTGACTAAATCAAGATCACGCCTCTTGTCACTGGAATTGTAGATTTTCAGACTTGACTAAATCAAGATCTTGGATTGACGAATTATGGTGAGGGTGGTTAAGGGGGCATACACCAAAAATTTCCAGCCCAAATGACCTCATAGGAAGTTCAGTGGTCATCTAGCGCACCGTTTCCACACCAACAAATGAGAATACCGATTTCTGTAATCGAGCATTTCCTGGTTAAAGTGCATTTTTCGGAAAAAGCACAATTTGTTTTGTTTAGAGGCTATAAGTCAATAATTTCTTGTGATATTGAGCTGAAATTTTGCACGAAGTTATTCATATCTTGTTCAAGATGTGTGTAAAATCTTGATATCGCATCTGAAAAGGCTGTGTTTTTATAAATTTTGAAAGTCAAAAATTGGTAATTTTTCTTTTCAGGATTGTTTTGACCAAAAAGTCCGTCAAGGAACAATGGATTGTTTTGTTAGAAAAAAATCACATTTTCTACCATAAATTTAAAAGGAAGCATTTTCGGGTGTTTTGTTATTCATAACTCATATAATATAAATATTCTAGTTGCGGTTATTTTCCACTTCCATTTAAATATGAAAAACGAAAAATATGCCTAAATTCGTTGTTTGACTTTGAGGTCCAAAAGATCAACTTTCCAGTTGAATAAACACATTTTTGAGGTCATTTGGGTTGGCCGACACAAACCTTAATACTGTCTTATGATTTCAGATTATTTTTAATTGAATGTTTGATATTATTGACAATATAATATCTTTCTTTCGGAACCACTAGGTACCAATATAGGTACCAATATATGAACCACTAGGTACCAATTATCATTTGAACAATATTTGTTTCAACCTTGTGGCCAAAACTTGAACTGTAGGATTCAGTTGTTATCAGTCATGATCAATATTGCAAGCTTCCCGATGTATAATTCTTAATTTTTCAAATTGTTTTTTGTTCGGGCACGAGTCGTTAATTGAGTATGATATTCATTTATGTGATTTGAATTTTAAATCATTCACAGAAAAGCTTTAAATCATAATTTGCTTCTTTACAATACAATGGTGGGTTTCAGGAATTTTTTATCTTTTGTCACTGAATAAAATGCTAAACAAAATAAACTTACAACACAAAATTTATATATTATCAAGCAACTCTGAAATTTAATTTACTGTTCTCTGTTCTCTTGTGACGAATTGTTGTTAGAATTTTGTATTAACAAATAGACCTAATTTGGCCAAATACCCTGAACATGTCAAAAACCCAGGTTTTAGGTGCTCTAATTGTAGCTAGTGGTCTCCTGAACTCGTAATTGAAATTTCATCAAGATTGGACAACAAATTACTGAGTTATGAGCCAAAAACCATATGCCCATATTTGGGCATACGCACCAAATTTGATAGATTTCGGCCCATAAATTGGTCAAATATCAATATTTTTTATATATGAAAGGCAAGCCTAAACTACATATTCTCTGTAAGTTATAGCTTTATATCTGTTTAAATGTGGATACTAAGGCGAAAAGACCACAAAAAATGAACAAAAGTGCCTGTATCTTGGTTTGCGATATTCGCGAAATTGATCTCATTAAAATTGTAACAACTCAATCAGTTTTTAAAATTTGTGCATGAAATTTTCGGAATCGACTCTTCATCCCATTTCCACCTTATTTTAGGAACGAATTTTTGATTTAGACCTCAAAAAAATTTGGCTGCCAAATTCTGAATTTTGCATGACAAAATATATCCTAGTTTGTTGGTCAAACTGTTATCTCGAAATCAAGTTTTGCAAAAAAATACCCACTGTCCCCCCCCCCCCCCCCCCCCCCCCCTCGAATAATTGAATTAAGCAAAACAAAAAAGTTCTAGTTGCTAAGCTCGGGGTAAGTTCGACAACATGAACATATTACAGCAGTCAACTACGATAATAATTGTATGCGAACTAGGAATCTGCCGGGCAATAATCAGGATTACGAAGTAGCGGAAATTGTTGCGGTCTTTAAAACCGCATATTTTTCTGGGTTATTTTCGTGGCACTGATTCTATTAACTATGACGTCAGAACATTTAAATGAGTCATAACTGAACCGAATTCTCACATTACCTCGCATAATTTATCTCTTGTTTCCTTTCCTACCCCTCGGGTATTTCATCTCGTGCCAATATAAAGTTTATATATCTGTTTTTAACTTGTTAACACTTGTTTAGTGTTTTGTGTTTCTGTAGAAAGTAGATGGGGGGGGGGGGGGGCCGGGGGGGGGCCCGGGGGGGGGCCAAAATATACCTTGTAATGGTGTGGGGGGGGGGGGTGGCCAAATTATAAAATGAAATGAAAACACAGGTAGGAAGATTTACAATTAACTAAAACGAATATACTATTACTAGGTCAAATTGGCGTTATACTCTAATTGTGTAATAATCTAGCCTTTAATATACCAATTTTCTTAATAACCATCATCAAAAACTGCGACCGTATTTCATTTAAAATTTCATTTAAACTTACCACAGTTGCGTTTCCAAGGTAGGAGGATTAACAGAGGATGAACTGGGCCCGGCAAACTCCGCGAGGCTCACCCCCCGACAAGGGCAGCTTCCCTCTCGATCACTTTGGAGAGTGCAAGGCCCTTATGCAGACCTTCATGTCCTGTTTAAAGGAACATGAATACAACCAGAGGAAGTGCCGGGTAGAGAGCAGAGAGTATTTGCAGTGTAGAATGGACAATGATCTCATGGTAAGTGAGGATTTAGATGATCTGGGGTTCAATGATAACATTACTAAATCAGATCAGCCCGGGTTCAATGATAACATTACTAAATCTGATCAGCCCGGGTTCAATGATAACATTACTAAATCAGATCAGCCTGATAAAAAAGAAGAAGTTGTATCTTGAGGAAGATATCCTGGGAGTGTTTGTTTTACCAGCCTCGTGCAGTGACCCTTGTAATTTTGTTAATAGGTTTTGAATTAATTTATCTGAAATACTTTTTTGATCACTTTGTTTGTTTATCTCTGTTTTTTAATCAAAAGTATGAAGAGGTTCAAGGAAAAACATTTCTGAACTTTTGAATATTGATGTCCTTATTTGAAAAGATGAGCAGATTTTGTCCCATAACTTTTATATAACATTTCTGATTATCAAAGTTCCTTGATCAGTGATTTCTCCTAGTTAGTCATGTCTGAAGCAGAAGAAGCAAAACAAGCAGAAGAGATGAGGTTACAGCGAATAGCCCGACTGGCGGACTCTTTGAAAAACGAGAAGCAGAGGTTAACTTGCGATGAGACACAGAGCTTGGTGAATGTACTAGAGTCCGGGGACTGTTCTAAGTTTAAGATGCAGTTTAGAGAATGCGTGATAGATAAAGGAGATAAAGATAAGTGTCAGCACGAGTTCTTGTTGTATGCTATGTGTACTATGAAACAAGAAAGTGAGGCTGGTAGCGAGGGATGAACATTTTCATAATAACTCTCTCATTCACTTCTGAATCTATACGTGAAAGTGTTTTTAAGTGTGCTTGGAGGCAGATAAGATGAAGTTTTGGCTTTGCTGTTTGGTGTCGTGACCCGTTCTGTTCTCATTGATTACGTTTCAGTTTTTAGTTTTTACTTTTGAGTATCATTATATAAACTAAAATATAAACTTCTTTAATTTATTGAAATAATATGGGTATTTTATTATTTGTCAATTATGTTTTCCGGCTAAACTCTTTATACAATTTGGTAATTGCTGAAAAAGTTTTATACTCGAATTGTTAATTCTGGACATATACTTATTACACTCCGTAGTAATTATATCCCAGAAATTGATTATTTCTAAATTTGGGACAGTTTCTTATGGTAATCCGTGTTACTGTATACATTTTTAATAACGTTTCTTATTCAAACTTAATTTTAACACTAAAATTCCCTTAGTCAATGTTATTGAATCCTGTTCTCAACACAGAAACATTGCAATGCAGTGAAGATATCAAGGTTCTAATTGAGGAGAGTTTAGGTTTCATCACCGAAGCTATCAATAAATATGGACTGGAAAACATCGCTCTCGCGTTCAACGGAGGAAAAGATTGCACCGTACTTCTCCACCTGTTACATATGACACTTCAGAGACTCAACTTACACAACACTAAAGTAATAACCGTTAATATTGAAACTGAGGAGGTTTTTCCTGAACTCAATAACTTTATAGCCCAATCTGCAGATTTGTACAGACTAACGATAGTAAAGAAGAATGGTAAAATAAAAGACGCGCTGTTCGAACTGAAGGCTGACATGCCTCACTTGTCGGCTGTACTAATGGGCACCAGATCCACAGACCCCTACTCAGCCTCTCTTCGCTCCTTCACGCCCTGTGATCCGGGCTGGCCCAGTCTGATGAGGGTTAGCCCCATCTTATCCTGGTCCTATACACAAGTGTGGTGCTTTATTAGGGAGATGAATGTACCTTACTGTACTTTATACAATGAGGGGTACACTTCCTTAGGTAATATTCACAACACTCAGAGGAACCCAGCCTTGCTTTGCGAGGATGGTACAACCTACAAACCCGCATATTGTCTGACAGATGGTGCGAAGGAGCGCGCTGGCAGAACTAAGTGAAGTTTGTGCTCTGTTTTATCTAGCGTGCTGGCAGAACTAAGTAATGTTTGTGCTCTGTTTTATCTAGCGCACTGGCAGAACTAAGTGAAGTTTGTGCTCTGTTTTATCTAGCGTGCTGGCAGAACTAAGTAATGTTTGTGCTCTGTTTTATCTAGCGCACTGGCAGAACTAAGTGAAGTTTGTGCTCTGTTTTATCTAGTGTTTTATGAGTTTTTAAATTTTGGCAACTTCTGTTTCAAACGTCATTTGCATTTGGGCTTCAGTGACATAACTGGCTTTAAAAGATTTGGTAAAATGTGATGTTTTGTTTTATCTCTTAATTATAGTCGTGATATCATTATAGTCATTCAAGTTAACATTCCACCCTCAGTGATTTAAATGATTTTGTTTATATATTGTTTTCATTAATCGATTTCAGTTTTGGTATATGTTTTGATTGTTATTAATAAATACCAAAGTTTAAACCTTGTTTTCCTATAATATGTAGTGTAGCAACTAACGAGTCTCACTCTTGTCTCATACCAAAGAAATTTACAACTAATTTAGGATAATCTTTGTGTAACTATAGTAACTAGTAGTGTTACTATGGTAATCTTTGTGTAAAGTGTACCCAAGAAATTGAGGAAACCTCTTAATCAAGATGGATTTTTAAAGGTAGACGGTTTAGCAGCACCATGGAAACCGAATGAATTGCACAGCTCCTGGACGCCATATCAAAGGTAATAATTCATCTGTTTCGTAGATTTTTGCTGACAACATCGATAATGTTTCGTGCATCAAGCAGAAAAGAAATGTGAGGGTCACCGGTCAATGCAATATTTTTTTTTCCAAAATTTCAAATCTCGTCGAATTGTTGCCACTTGCGGTCCTTGCAGGAAAATTAATGTTTGCGTACGGCGCGAAAACATTCGCATGATGAATCTTGCTTTCACGTACGTCACATCTGAGCATTTTGTAGAATTTAGAATCTTCGCACGCACGATGAAAATTCAGCTGAAACGATAAATTGACAGCTCCCTCCCCCAGTATTTGGTAAAGCTATACTATGTCTCGCGAAGGTTGGAGAGGAGATATACTTTGAGGGTGAAGCTAGTGGGGTAAGTGCTCTCTGTTTCAGAATTTCACAAATCGGGAACTTCCCAACTCCTCTAAACCACTGATTAACTGTTTCATATAATTCAGTATTGATACTTGATTATATTTCCTACATTTTCAGCTCGCTGTACGTACGGTTAATCTATCCCGCTCTGCCTATGGATCCTTTCTTTTTCAAACTTCCTTTTTCACAAAATTCTCCCTTCAAAGCCAAAATTCGGGTGAACTTCGCTGCAAAGTCTCAGCAAGGGTAAGGACTTTCTTACTGCCAATTAAACGTTGCTTGCATACTTTTTTGGTCATTTAAACCGTAGATAAAACCAATTTTCATGATTTAGGAGCATGCTTAAATTATAAGTTTCGAGTTTTTGGAAGCACACAGTTTTTCCTTGAAATTTAATCGTTTGCAATAGTCTTAAGTGGACAAAAGTGGGTGCAACCAATTAGTGATACAATTAAAAAAGCATTTACAAAAAACTGTTTAAATTCAGATAATGAGTAGTATATAATTCAATATCAGAGAAGACTTTATTTTAAATGTACTAAAACATTTGCTGAGCATTAAAAATTTCAAACAACAAAAAGTACAGCAAAATTATTTAATAATAACAAAAAATTATTACACCGTTACACGTCATCATGAAAATTTCTTTTTAGCTATTTTAGCATTTAAATGCTCAACATGATTGGTTCCCTAATTTTTCTGAAAACTTAATTCGAAACATTTCAAAGATAAAAATCATTTACAAAACTTTTAAAAATCAGCACGGAAAAGAACAGAACACTTTTTCAAGACAGAAACATTTTTTAAAGACAGAAAATAATTAGAAAGCATCCTTAGGGCAAGGTTCTTAAATCTTAATATTCAGTGACTCAAACTGAGGTATCTAAAAGACGTTTACTAGCCTCACCCTCTCCACTTAGGGTCTGGGGGCCAGCATCTTCCTCGAAACTGTTTGAATCTCCGCCATCCTCTCCACCATCGCATGCAGCTTTCTTTTTATCCTCAGCCTCACCAAAGTAAGTGAGACCGAGATAAACCAAAACACAGACAATGCAGAACAGAGCTAACACGATGCCGACAGTGATCTTAATCGCCGAGCCCCCATCAATGAATAATTTGGTCATTGGAGCAGAGAGTAACATGATCAACCCAAAGCCACAAATGAACACAAATTTGATTGGGAATCTTTTGGGAATGAGGTTGCACTTTTGCGGCTGTAAAGTGTATGCCAGTAGGACCAGGCATGTTGAGGAAATGATGTACATAATCAACCATGCCCATCCTTGGTATTTGAACACATCAGAGTTTGTACCGCAGGGGAAGAAATTCTCCATGTACACAGCACCTGCCAATCCTTCAACAAAATAAAAAGTCGAAATCAACATGATCCTCTTGTAGCTTCTCAATGATTTGTACGACACTTCAGAAGGTTTGGACATATAAGCTGTCGTATCCCGCAAAGAGATTACCCACAAATCTCTAAAACTGAACAAAAGGAGCTGAAAACTCTTTCTAACCTTAGCTGTAAGACTGAGCTGTCTTTCTTTGAAGTCAGGATCTTTGGAGATAACCTTTAAGTTGATAAGGAACCAAATTAAAGTACAGAATATTATCCATCCAATATTAATGAAATGGTTTGGAGTGGCTTGCATTAGACCCGCATGGAGGAACAATCTAGACGGGATCATTATTAAATAAGTTAGGTAAAGCAGAATGGCGGCACCGTCTGACATCTTTGGGGTTAGTGGGTCTAATTTCCTAAATGCCCCTTCAAGTGAAACTGTGCTTGCTGGCATTTTAAGAAATGGGATAATCATAGAAATTATCAGATACCACGGTGCACTTGTTTGGATCCCTAAAAAGTTTGTTTGTCCTTGGAAAAACTCATAATTGTAAGTAAAATTATGCGACTTTCCAAAGCACACAACAGTGCTGTTAGCAAGATGATGTGAATCATTATCTGCAGTGCTATCATCTTTGGGCGACAATGATTCGGTGGCGATGTTATTGAAATAGATCTGAAAGAGATAAAATTGTACCATCAGCTCTAGTATCTGTTCTGTAATCATGAAATACTGGTTAAGTACCTTCTGTGCTAAATTCTGGCGGATAACAGTTCGAATCGTCGATGGAGAGTGCATGAAGATCATCAGGCGGTCGACCACCGGTCGTATCTGACATATTGTAAGGATGTTAAATAGTAGAGCTTTCTTCTTTTCACCATATTTCATCATAAACGGACAACATAGTCGCCAAAAGAATTTCTTGAGACGTGATTTGCTGTAGTTAAGGGACGAATTTCTAATCCAATCCTCTTCCTTCAATGCAAATCTACCAAGACTGACTCGAAGGCGCTCCTTTTCCTCTTTGTAGAGCTCAACACTTGACTGATAATTTTCATGAATAAGAGTAGAAATCGCCAAAGCAATCATGAATCCTCCCAGTCTTTGTGAAAATCCTTTTAGAGATTCAATCCCTAGTTTAATATCCAGAGTAACATCAACTAAATAAGTTATTACGCCTGGAATAGTAAGAAGTAATGTGTTGATGCCTCTTTCAATTTTTTAGCCATCCAAATCTCCCGGCCTTTAAAGAATTTCTTTACAGAGTTTTCTTTGTCCTCCTTGAAATACGTTTCGTAAATTTTCTTTACCATGAGCTGAATGTCACTACATTTTTCACCACTGTCCACTGTTTTTCCTAAACTTTTGATCGTTCTCTTAAACACTGGGTAAAGCTGTCCCTGCAGGGCATTTCTAAGGAATTCCTTCTCTGATTTTTGGCAGTCTGCGTTAGCTTGCAATGATACATAAACAAGCTTCATTACCTCGATAATAGCAGTTTGATCACTTTCAGTAATTTCTTGCATATTGACAAATATCTTAACTAAGGGCTTGCACATGAAATCTTTATAGAAAGTATATCTAAGATCATCATCGTCGGCATATTTCTGCAAGCCGACAATTATTAAGTTAAGAACTGCTGATGCAATCGTGAATTTGACTACAACTTGTTTATCATCAGAACTTGACAAAACCTTGATTTTGTCCTGAAGCAGCGCCAGAATTGACTGGTTCTCATGACTTTTAAATTCGAGCAGGAATCTTAAAGTTTCTGGTATTTTTTCTTTTGGTGGTTTATGTAAAGAGCCATCACTTTCTGTGTTTTCTCTGGTTGAATTATGATCCACTTCGCATAATACAGCTTCAATTGCCATCACTTTCTGTGTTTTCTCTGGTTGAATTATGATCCACTTCGTATAATACAGCTTCAATTGCCTTTACGAGGCGTATTGATGGTTTGGAAGATCCCTTTGATGTGATGCTGGCAGATAGTTCCGTTGAACTGTTCTCTATAAGACCACAGACTATCTCGAAAATGTTATTGCCAGCGCTGTCTTTTATATCCAAATCGATTGTTGGCAGGGAGAGCAAATAAAATGCGACATCCACATTTGCGTGCTCAGTAGCTGCCAATAGAGGAGATCCTAAGTTGATTTTAATGGATGGGAATTTGCAAAGGACTTTAGCGGTATCCACATCATTATTGGCTGCTGCTATGTGTAACGCAGTCCTACCATCACTGTCCATGGCGTTTACGTCAATATTAGAGAATTCTTGTAGTAAGTAGCTACATTCTTTCAGATCACGAAGCTCCGCTGCTATATGGATAATTCCTTTTCCTTGGTATTGCTCATTTATATCGACTTTGGTGCCGGGAAGTTTGTAGATGCACAAGAGGAAGCGTAATGACAAAATCTCTGAATCTGCTGCCAGTTGTAACGGATCAAAGCCACTTTCGTTTTCCCTGCGTTTGACACCAGGAAGGGAGCAGATGCACCTGGCTGCGTCAAGGTTGCCTTCTTTCACAGCGAAATGAAGCAGTGTGTTCCCTTCTTCGTACGACTTGTTAATATCTATCTCTTCCGGCGGTAAATTTTGCACCAGTATCCATAACATCGGGTAAAGCTTTTCCTTAACAGCAATGTCTATTGGAGTTAGACCTTCGATGTTTTTGACATGTGAATTTTGGCATATCAGTTTTACGAGCTCAGCATCATTTTTGTTCACGCCAGTATGAAGAATCGTTGCTCCTTTTGCATTAGGCAGGTTCACATCCTCATTATTTATATTTATTTTGTTCACAACTGCATGAATTAAATGCCTGTGATTTGCTTCAAGAGCCAAGATTAGGGGAGTTGATCCAGAATTGTCTCCTATTGAACATACAAGTTGTTCCACATTATCGACTAACATACAAGCTGCTTCAAATTGTTTTTCTTTCATCGCCAAAAGAAGAGCAGTTCTTCCGGATTTATCACGATGGTTGACTTCTACTTGTCCATCAGCTATGAGGGCTTTGATAATTTCAGTTTGTCCTGCTTCTGCTGCATACATCAACGAATTTTTTCCGGTTGTATCACGATGGTTGACTTCTACTCGGTCATCGGTTGTCATGAGGGCTTTAATAACCTCAATTTTTCCTTCTTTAGCCGCATACATAGATGCAGTTCTTTCGGCCTAATCACGATAGTTGACGTCTACCCGTACATCAGTTATGAGGGCTTTGATAACCTCAGTTTGTCCTGCTTTTGCTGCATAAATTAACGCAGTTTTTCCAAACTTATCACGATAATTGACTTCTACCCGGTCATCGGTTATGAGGGCTTTGATAACCTCAGTTTGTCCTGCTTTTGCTGCATACATTACCGCGGTCATTCCGACTTTATCGCGATGGTTGACTTTTACTCGGTCATCGGTTGTCATGAGGGCTTTAATAACCTCAATTTTTCCTTCTTTAACCGCATACATAAATGCAGTTCTTTCGGCCTTATCACAATGGTTGACGTCTACCCGTACATCAGTTATGAGGGCTTTGATAACCTCAGTTTGTCCTGCTTTTGCCGCATAAATTAACGCAGTTTTTCCGAACTTATCTTGATAGTTGACTTCTACCCGGTCATCAGCAATGAGGGCTTTGATAACCTCAGTTTGTCCTGCTTTTGCTGCATACATTACCGCGGTCATTCCGACTTTATCGCGATGGTTGACTTTTACTCGGTCATCAGTTGTGAGGGCTTTGATAACCTCAATTTGTCCTGTTTCTGCCGCATACATCAACGCAGTTCTTCCGGCCTTATCACGATGGTTGACTTCTACCTGGTCACTAATTGCGAGGGCTTTCATAACCTTAGTTTGCCCTGCTTTCGCCGCATGCATCAACGGAGTTCTTTCGAACTTATCACAATAGTTGACTTCTTCCCGGTTATCAGTTGTGAGGGCTTTGATAAACTCAGTTTGTCTTGCTTCTTCTGCATACATAAACGCGGTTTTTCCGGCCTTATCACAATGATTGAATTCTACCTGGTCATGAGTTTTGAGGGCTTTGATAACCTTAAATTGTCCTGCTTTTGCCGCATAGATCAACGCAGTTTTTCCAAACTTATCACGATAGTTGAAATCTACCCGGTCATCAGTTGTGAGGACTTTGATAACCTCAGTTTGTCCTGCTTCTGCTGCATACATTAACGCAGTCCTTCCGGTTTTATCACAATAGTTGACTTCTACCCGGTCATCAGTTGTGAGAGCTTTGATAACCTCAGTTTGACCTGCTTTTGCTGCATGCATTAACGCAGTTCTTCCGATTTTATCACGATAGTTGACTTCTACCCGGTCATCACTTGTGAGGGCTTTGATAACCTCAGTTTGACCTGCTTTTGCTGCATGCATTAACGCAGTTCTTCCGATTTTATCACGATAGTTGACTTCTACCCGGTCATCACTTGTGAGGGCTTTGATAACCTCAGTTTGACCTGCTTTTGCTGCATGCGTCAACGCAGTTCTTTCGGCTTTATCACAATAGTTGACTTCTACCCGGTCATCAGCAATGAGGGCTTTAATAACCTCAGTTTGTCCTGCTTTTGCTGCATGCATCAATGCTGTTTTTCCGGAATCATCATTAACATTCACATCAACTTCGTCAATTTTCAGCAAGAATAAAACTAGTTCGACGCTACCTCCAAATGCTGCAAGATGAAACGGTGTTACCATAATATTATCCTTACTGCTCACCAAAGAAGTATTATTGATCGATCCATTGCCGAGAAGACACTTAATCAACTCTAAGGACCTGTGACTCATCACGGCATAATGTGAGATATTCAATCCGTAATCGTCTTTTTCTGAGAAAACCTTTTTGTGCTGACATACAATGTTTACTATCTCTATCATGTCAATTCTATTAACCTCTAAAGCGTACATCAAGGCTGTCTTTCCCATCGAATTCTTGATTTCTACATCAATGCCAACTATTTTAAAAAGATTTGAAATCAATTCCTTACTGGATACTCTTTTGATTGCCATATGTAAGGGTGTAATGCCGTGTGGGTCTTTAGCGTTAACTAATGAGGTAGCAGCATTTGTTGGTATTTCGACACATATATATTCTACAGTTCTCATAGAGTCTTTCTGCACGGCGAGATGTAAGATATTCCACCCACTGTTATCCTTCAAATTGATATCAGATCCGAGATTTAGTAGATGCTTAACCATTTCTATTTCGTCAGTCCGTGCTGCGTACATAATGGGTGTCCTATTGTATTTGTCCTTAACATCTATATGCACATCCACCAGACAATCATTTACTAACTTGATGTCCCCCTTTTGAGCAGCCTGGTGCAGTGTAGTAGTACCACCAGCCTGGTGCAGTGTAGTAGTACCACCAGCCTGGTGCAGTGTAGTAGTACCATCAGCCTGGTGCAGTGTAGTAGTACCATCTTTTTTTTGCACCTCCGACAGTAGCTGTTCTTCCACATCATCAGCCATCTTATCTCATCTCTCCTAAGGTATGAATGAAAGTTAGCGAACGTGAGAAAATCTTATTGTATTGCTTGGGTTATAAACCATATTCAGTTGTATTATGTAACTAGACATATGCAAATGTCAAAAAGAATATAAAATGTGTTATAATCTACTACTACTACTACTACTAGAAAGCCTGTGGTCACAGAGAGGAAGCTAATAGTAAAACAGTATTCTATGAAAGTCAATTTTTTATCGGCTGATACAGCCCATTAAAATGTAGCCCGTACTGAACACAACGTAATTAAACTTTAGTTTTGAAATAATTGCGAAAAGCTACACTCAGTTTCAGAAGCTCTTTCCAGTTATTATATCTCAGGCTGTCTTCAGCCCCCTCTAGTTAAAAACTACTTTAATTTCAAACTTTATACGTCTAACCATCTTCTTATGTAACTACCACAAGTTGGGCTTAGTTCCGGTCCCGGTCAATATCAGTTTATATATTGGAAATCCTGGTCCGGCCACAAGCCGGGATTTTATTTATATTTTTCGAGAATACTTTCGTAAAAATGTTTTTTTTCCCCATAAATTGATCTAATATTACACGTTATTTATCCATTTGAAACGGCAGACCGTTTCTTGAGGTTAAAGTTAGAATAGCACGTTGGAAGCGACATTGTAGATCTATTTTGGTATTGTGTAAATGTGATTGTAATAATATGTACATTGATGAACAATTTATTTTTTTAAATGTAGGATTAAAAGTGTAATTTAATACTACAAGTTGACTTGAAACTAAACGTTCGAATTCGAAACCAGAAACAATTTTAACGAAGAGTAATGATTGCAACTCATACGAATACTCCTAAACGGAACGTGTCGACCTCCCCAAGATCGTGTAAATTAACACACAGTGTTCACACGGCGTGCTAACTCACGGAATTATTACATTCTCGCAGTCTCAGTATAATCCTTGCATCATAATCTAATTATCTGGTCTTTAAGGGGGAATCTGTGACAAAATAAATGGAAATATGTGACCAATTCTGATTTTTTTTCTACTTCCTATTTGGTTAGAGTTTGTATTACGTGAGCTCGGTTATGACCATTTTAGTTCCCTCCCCTCCGCAAGCAACTTTGTTGAGAAATAACAGTAAACCCAGTAAATAACGTAGTATATTAAAGTCACTATTGTGACGGTACATTAGAACTAGACAGAAACAAAGTGTGAAGGGCCTGAACGGAACCCCTCGGTTTCAGTTCCTTGTTTAACACTGCCGTACAGCAAGGACATCCACCGGGTTCTCCAAGGATGGGCACATAGCTCACTCCACACTATGCTCTGTCAAATGTTGCTTATATACCAAGGATCTACAGGAAATATTTCCTTGTAAGTTTAGAGGGCGATCTGTGAACAGACAACTACCTCATTCCCAACTATAGGAACTAGAATTCCTATACTATCCCAACGAGCTACACCAAGCATAGTATATGAACGATCACTTAATTAATTCAGAAGATGAATCCGAGATTTTGGAACAGTTTGAGACAACTTTTTATCGATGTTTTTTGGCTGTATTTGTCCGTAAACTAAGTTGAATTTGCTCTGGTATGATAGGATGGCATGTGTACTGACATTTCCAGCTAGTTTTGAAATATTTATCGAATTCATGGAATGAATGAAATGAACAAAAAATGAACAATGTCTCAGAATGTCCTGGACTGAGCTGAAACCGATTGGGATCGATTGCTATTGATACCAGGAGTGTCCCTGGGAAGTTTGGTGGGTCCAGCTTGTTCAGAAAGGGCTCTGGGCAATATTTCCATTTTAGTTTCTGAGCAGTAGTTAAGATTTTGGAAACATTTTTAGAAACATGCTTTTTAGCGGTAATTATGCCTGGACTAACATGGAATCGATCTGGTATGGTAGAGGGGCATGTGTACTAACATTTCCAGTCACTTAGAAGTGCGAAATATTCCCCTGGTTCATGGAATGAACGAAATGAACAAAAAATCAACATTATCCTAAATTCCCACGAATTGAGCTGGAATCGATTGGTATTTATATTTCATATCAGAAGTGTCCCTGGGAAGTTTGGTGGGTCTAGCATGTATACAATTTTAACGGTGCGGTTTTTATGTAGTAAATAAGCTGTGTCCCATCTACTGTTCTCTAGAATTCTGCACCATCTTGCCAACTCCTTTTATATGCGATTATGTAGTACTATACCTACTGCAGTACTGTTCAATTTTAGTTGTTGTCCCTCACTGAATGACTTAATTTATTCTTACATTTCAAGCAATCAGAGAAATTCGTATGAACAGGTACAGTGTACACAGCTAATCACATTTGACAGCGTGTACACATAATAGTGATTTTCGGTGTCACATTATATTTTCTACATTGTCAACATTTCTGAGTTATTATATATTAGCTAATATTTTATTATTTATTTATTCTTATTTCATTTTAATTGTTTGTAATTATTTCGATTAAAATAAGACAGCTTTTTCATTGTTTTCAATCAGATCCAAATCATATAAATCAATAATCAGACATGAATCAAAATTCAATAATAATAATTTAACGCAAATAGCAAATTGTAGCAGTTACAGGTATGTAGCAATGTTAGGGAAGGAGAAGTTTTAGGTATGTAGCAATGTTAGGGAAGGAGAAGTTTTAGGTATGTAGCAATGTTAGGGAAGGAGAAGTTTTAGGTATGTAGCAATGTTAGGGAAGGAGAAGTTTTAGGTATGTAGCAATGTTAGGGAAGGAGCAGTTGTAGGTATGACATGTAAGTTCCAGCTGTAGTAGGAGATGTTGAAGTTCCATAGAAGGGGAAGTACTATAAAGCTCCCTTAACGAGGACTTCCAGATAAGGAGTAGTTTCAGGTAAATAAACTGTTACATACTAGGGATGGATACAGCAGTTCCAGGTAAGGATGACAATAATTTGTCCAGGTAAGGATGACAATAATTTGTCCAGGTAAGGATGACAGTAATTTGTCCAGGGAAGGATGACAATAATTTGTCCAGGTAAGGATTAGGTTCGTGATAATAATATGTCCAGGTAATGGGTAGTTTAGTGCTAGGATAGATCAAGGGAACTTGAGGAATGAAGAGACGATTAGGATTAGGATTAGGACGATTAGGATTGTCGGATTTCTTCAGTGCAAACCAAAATCGTTTCACTCAAATAATTTAAATCATATTCACTCATAAATTAATGTTCATATACATCGATAACAATAATAATGTAAGGTTAATCATTACAAATAATTTAACCATATTAGTTACTGATACAAAATGTTGTTAAATACAAACCTGTTGGAGTGAAGTTCTAAGGTGAAATTTCTAAGGATTTTCTTAGGAGTCAAATCAGGACGCTTGTACGGGCATGGAGCTAAAAATTTGTTATCTCTAAAACTTTCTCTTACCTGTCTACGAATCGTCGGTCCTTTGAGATGTTGAAACTTTAAGGGATGGTGGCCGTGAGATAGGGACCAAAGGAATCCAAGCGCCAAAGGCCCACAGTCATACCCATTACCTTGACTTTGAGTTTGTACAAATCTAACCACTGTTGTCTGTGGTCTCAGTTGTAAAATTTGACTGCTAATACATCTATCTATAATTATGCATGTTTCTAAAGACTGAGGGGTTCTTAATGAATCGAATATCTCAACTACGTGTGGCTCTCTAACGAATGTAAGGGCGTTGGAAAGGCAAAACCAGTGGTTATTGTTAGGATTAACTATTTGAATAAACTTACCATCAACGGGACTTAAACCATTTAACGAATAACGACTTTCTAAAAGGGTATCTTGATATACAAAAGAATTGGAACGATTGAACTGGCACATGAGGGCGTACGAATTAATAACAATATCATCATACCAGGAAGTGGCGGACTGGCAAATACGAAACTGCTCTGAATACAAATCTAACCTACCAGTATCTGAGCAGCTTTGCCACGTTTTACTTACGGGTCTTGTAGTGTGACCCGGACCTATCTTTACTTTCTTCCTCTTAATTTGTACTTTTGAGGGAGCAGCTCTTTTCATCCCTGACAAAGGTTCAAACTCAAAGACGTTGACAGGTTTCTTACTTTCTACTTCAGGAATGTTCACAGGAATATTTACAGGCTTCTTACTTAAAGGTGTACTAAGTTTAAATATTACTAGGCAGGCTGAGCGAGCAAACTCAAGAAAGGCGTGCTCAGAAAGTAGATTACATTTACTGTTGGTCATTTCATAAAAATTGTCGCCAATACGAACAAAGCCTGAATAGATAGATTGGCCGGACTTAGCTATGTATGCAACAGTTTCGAACCTCACCTGGCTATCAAAATAAGAGACATCAAAATGTGAACAAACGCCATTAAAATACTTATCATCATCAGGCTGAGTAAGAATAATGAAGTCTACCATGGAATTCTGAGATTGCAAGCAATTATCTAGACCGATTCCCATATTTAAAGAGGTTGCTTTAGATTCTATCAGCAGTACACCAAGCTTCTTCAGATCAGGAAGAAAACAGATAGAAAAGATCGAGCAGGGGTCGGATGTCGAACCGCTAGCATCTGAAATTTTCTTATCGATCTTCTTCTTCATCCTAAAATGTACTAACTGGTTGTAGGGGGTCTTGCCACAGACAAAAGAAAGCAGTTCGTGACATAAACAAGTCTCCTCATCAAGTATGGGTTCACCTATACTACTTAGTGACACCGTATAAACAACAGAGTTAAGGGCTGACGAATCAGAAGAGGGATCTTGCAGAAGAGGCAGCGGGTGAGGAGATTTCAAGTCACTCGTTGAAGGAGTGTCAAAACGGGTTGAATTTGAAGACGTTTTTTCAACACCCTTCCGGACTAGAAATCCCAACTCATCTACCACACACTCTTCTCCTACATTTTTCTCAACTCGACTTTTCCAAGCATCGTTTATCTTCTTGTTGTGGACACTAGTAAGATACGATACAAACAATATGTGCTGTTCAGGACTCATCTCATTGCAAAAACTTTTTGTGAGCGCAAGGACGTGGTTCTGCTGTTCTACTACTG